TCAAAATACCTATACTACCCTTGTTTAAACTTCGAAATAAGCACTTTTTCACCAAACACTCAAAAGTGATTATTAGGATAAGCACATATTTATCCAATAAGCACTCCCAAATAGGAGTATAGTTTCTATATAACTCAAATCCACCCCTACACCCTTCTCTTCCATTACATCCTTGTTTCTATTGGCATCCTCCTTTAGGAACAATTTCACTGTATCAAAACTTTCCATCTTAGGAAAATCCTTTGTCGGATTCGTAGTCCTCATCAGAGTAGTTTACCCAACCCAGGCCTTCATTTTCGTTCCTGGGATTAGGTCGAACTGGGAAAGTACTCATTCTGGAGTTACAAGACCAAACTAGGACCATTTTTCCCTTCTTAGAACCTCTTCGGTGCAATTGTTTTGTACCAAGGAGGCTCCGAGAAGAGGTAGAAGATGATGGACGCTATCTATGGTCTCCCAACACCTCCAACTTTCTCACGTGAGAGTTAAGTACATGTGTCGGGGGGAGATTTATAATGGGCCTCTCAAACTCTTTAGAAGTGTTAAAATTTTCACTCAGCCCAATTCCAACACTCTTGCATGCCCATTTAAAGTTGCATGCAATTAGCTCGAACATTCCAACAACTTAGCAATCGGTTCACTCCTCTAGGTTGATCTATCAGGTTTAACCCCCCCCCCCCCATCTTCTTCCTACCTCCTTGAGAGCGTCAACATAGGTTTTGAATTTTGAAACATTTACAATAACTTGCTTCTCTCCTTTTTCTTGTTCTTAGCCCTATGTCTTCCATGTTTATGAAAGCTTCAGCTTTTGGACTCCCCTCTTGCCAAGCGCCATGTGTTCTTTGACCCTATGTGAGTTGCCACATAAGCATCTTCTCCCTTGCCCCCTCCTCTCCACTGTTATGCTTCAACAGTGGTGGTTGGCCAAATGTTGAAGACCACACCTTCTGTTATCAAATCCGCTTTCCAATGTATGCTTTCTGGCTTAGATCCTTTGGGGACCATGACCACTGAGTGAAGATCCCCTAAATAAGTTACTTTGAGGGTGCCACCACACAGTGTAGCAATCATAGTCATAGTTGTCTTCGACCATAGGTGAAACAGAAGACCAAGGACCCTTGAATCCCCCCATCTACTTATCATCAGTTGGCCTTCATCTGATTAAAGGACTGTGATTTCATCCAACTTGATGTTTTCCATTATCTCCAGGATAGCCTTATTTCAACCAAACAAAGCTAATAGTAAAGTCGTCTTTATCTGCAACTTCTCTCTGATAATATCCCCATGCATTCCAGCCAACTGGCTCTTCCTTTGTCTATATCACCAACCGATGTTCCTAATATAATCTTGTTTCCTTCCCTCCTCTATCTGAATGCTAAGAGTCTTCTCCATTTCAACTACTTTCTTCTCCTTTCTTTTCTACCCCTGCTCCAGTTGTTTCAGTTGGTGGAAAAAGCTTCATACACTGTATCAAAAGTGATTGAAGTAATAAAAAGCTTCATACACTCTGTTCGAATATTCTAGTCTATGATATGGCCCTCCTATTGTCCAACTTTGTTTATCTTGTAGATAACACTTTAACGCATCAACCTCATTTGTTACTGTATTGGTGGCAAGTAGCAGATCCTAACAATACAACAAAAGAAGGAGAAGAGGTTTGCAATAGGAACACTTACTAATGCTAGTTGTGAACAACAGATCTGGGCAATATGCTGTGACAAGCAGCAGGAACAGTTTTATATTGCTGACGGGAGTATTTATTTGCAGTTGGGATACAGGGGAATTTAGTTAGGGGAGTAGCTATTTGCAGTTGGGATCCACAAGGCAGATTGCGGATCAAATCTTGGTGGCCAATGAATGCGTCGTGGAAAGAAGAAAGGGTAGAGAAAAGGGGCTGGTTTGTAAAGTAGATTTAGAAAAAGCCTATGACTTGGTTAATTGGGAAGTCCTCCTAAATATACTAGAAAGACTGGGATTTGGAGTTAGATGGAGGTTGTGGATTAAAAGATGCCTAAGTTCAGCTGACCACTCAATCCTAATCAATGGTACAGCAAAGGACTTCTTCCCAACTAGGAGAGGAATTAGGCAAGGTGACCCCCTATCCCCTTTCTTGTTTACCCTAGTCGCAGAAGTGTTAAGCAGAATGGTGGCAAAAGCTGATGACCAAGGCCTTTTTAGAGGTTGGAGGGTAGGTAAAAATCAGGTGATTGTTACCCATCTCCAATTTGCAGACGACACCATCTTTTTCTGTGAAGGTAACAATGAGGAAGTGGTGGAAAATCTGAGGATGCTGCTGAATAATTTTCTGGGAGTGACAGGGCTGAGGATAAATTGGACCAAAAGTGGAATTGTAGGGGTCAACTTGGAGGAAAGAGATCTAATAAGATTTGATGAGATCTTGGGGTGCGAGATCAGAAGCTGGCCTATCAGTTACCTAGGTCTACCTTTAGGAGGAAACCCTGGGTCAGTTGGGTTTTGGAAACCAGTTTTAGAAAGGTTTGATAGGAAGTTAGCCCAGTGGAAGAGGAATTATATTTCTTTGGGTGGAAAAATAACCTTGATTAGAGCCACACTGACAAACCTCCCCACCTATTTCCTTTCAGCCTTTAGAATCCCTTCTAGGGTAGCAAGGTGCTTAGAGAAGTATATGAGAGATTTCCTTTGGGATCTAGGAGAGGAAAGGAAGGACCATTTGATCAAGTGGGAGCAGATTAGCATTTAGCAAACCTAAGGAACAAGGGGGTTTAGGAATTGGGAACATCCTATTAAGGAACACAGCTCTACTAGGTAAATGGATTTGGAGGTTTCCCTTTGAGAGTGACAGACTATGGCACAAAGTGATTGAGAGCATTCATGGGGTGGATGGAAATGGCTGGGATGCAAAAATCTCCCCTCACTGTTCTTCAGCTTCTCCTTGGAAAACAATTCATGAAATCTACCCTACTTTCCTCAATTCCATCCAGTTCGATGTGGGATAAGGTAATAAAATTCTGTTTCGGAAAGATCTATGGGTAGGGGAAACCCCACCTAAAGATCAATTTCCTGATCTTTTTGTAATATCTAACCTCAATGGGGAAGCTATATCCATGTTGGGAGCACAGTGTCCAAATGGTGTGAATTGGAACTTGGGCCTCAAAAGGGGACTAAAGGAAAATGAGTGTGAGTCTTTAATCCTACTGCTGGACCTTCTAGGGGAAATACACTTGGACCCTTCACTGGAAGATTCTAGAATCTGGGTAGGCTCTCCAAACGGTCTCTTTTCTTTCTCTTCCTTCTTCAAACTACTTGCCTCCCGCAACCCCCTAGATGGGGATTTCCCTGTGAAAGAAATTTGGTGCAAGCCTATTCCCCCGAAGATTCAAGCCTTCTGTTTGGAAATATTCCTTGGTAAGATAAACACTTGCAATATGTTGCAGAGAAGAAGGCCATGCATTTCCCTTTCTCTTCATGTGTGCTCTTTATGTAAGGAAAGTGGTGAGACCCTATCCCATTTAATGATGCCTAATCTTTTGTGCTCCAAATTTGGGAATTCTTTTGTACTCTTTTTGGTTGTAGGTGGGTTCCCCTTCAAGATGTGGCAGGACTCTTCAACCGTGACTTCTTGAGACAACGAAAGAAAAGAGGGATGGTAATGTGGAAAGCAACAAAGGCAGCAATTTGTTGGGTAATATGGGAAGACAGGAATAACAGGATTTTCTTGGAAAAAAGCAAAACTGTAGAGGAAGTCATTGATAGCATCAAGGTGAAAGTAGCTCATTGGGCAAAACCCTTGGATAGCTTTCAAGTCTTCTCAGTCACAGACATTCTAAGAACCCGGTCTGAAATAGCACGGTCATTGAGAATAAGAGATAAAGTAAGGCTGGAGTGGAAACCACCAAAAGGCAATAAAGTGAAACTAAATTTTGATGGGAGCTCCTTTGGAAATCCAGGCATTTTAGGAGTAGAATGAGTATTCAGAAATTCTGAAAGGAGGATATTGGGTTTGTTCTCAGGACCAATTGGCACTGGAAACTCACTGAAGGCTGAACTTTTGGCATTACTACAAGGGCTAAAGTTAGCCAAACAGTTAGGATACAGACATGTTGAGGTGGAAGGGGACTCAAAAGTAGTAATTTCCTGGGCAGCAAACAGTAGCCATACCCCATGGACGTTTAAGCATGTGATTAAGGAAGTGGAAAAGATTGCAAAGGAGGTTGAGGCTGAATTTAAATGGGTTTGAAGAAGTGCAAATGGGCTAGCTGATGCTTTAGCAAAACAGGGGGCATTGAGACAGCAACTACTTTGGGCTGCAGTGTAATGAGGGATAGAATAGAGTGATTAAAGGGATCAACAGTCCCATCACCAAGTTGTATAAGCCGTTTACAATCTGAAATTTAATAAAATACATGTTTACTGATAAAAAATATATATAGTTACAGGAGGGTTATTTGGTTGAAAAAGTTCTCAAAGGACAACATGACAGGAGCTACTTCATAGTTTCACACAAGCACAAACTTCTTGCATATTAAGATAGGTGGCATAAAATAGTTATGTTAGGTGCAATGTGGCAAGCATAATTTTGGTAACAGATCTGGGCCTTCAAACAAAGGTCAGTTCAGAACACAACCCTTGAAATAAAAACAACCAGGAAAGGTTACAAAAAAGCTAGATGACTCATGGAACATATTTCTCTAAATAACAATAACAGAAATCTGTAATATAAATTGTTGAGTCAGAAGGGAAATTGCACAAATAATAAGGAAAATCCTGAAAAAATTATGGCCAGAACATACAAGGAGACTTGCTTTAGAAAATTTTCTACAACACAAAGAAAGGATCAAAGTTCGCATTAATTGTCCTGATTATCAAGTTTCAATCACTTGTTTATTCTCATGATAAAAAAGAATAAAGGTGGAAAAAGGGGGGCATCCTTGTTCTACTTTATATTGCAATAGTAGCTTTATAGAATGTGCTGTGTACATATGTGGGTAAAAGCTATTTTCAAGAAATTGTTTCATTACCAACACCCATTGATATTAGCAAAACCCGCATGATTGAATAAACCTTTATTCTTAAAGCTGGGAGTGCACATCGCCTGAAATACTCTGTTAGGAGGCGCACAACATCTGCAGCATGTGGTAATAGTTGGCTGCCAAGGAAATCGAACATATTTGCAAAACATAAAAACATACATCCTCATCAGTCATCAGAAGACTAGCTATGGAAGGAAGTATATAAATAAGATCGAATGTCTCCTACAAATATAAGCAAACAAAGTAACAAAATGAAGGTACTAAACAATATATTTAACATTTGGAATATATATGTAGAATAGAGCAATCTAGTAACATAAAAATGTGCATAAAGAAAACTCTCATTAACTTAGATTCTATTGCACTCCCTAATACTTTAAAGAAAGTGTATACATTTAAAAGGAACAATTAACCCAATGCTGCAGTAGACAAAGCATGCATTCTACATCCATTTTTGTTTATGACATGTAGTCTTTTACCTGCGTACTCCCTTAATGATTGCAGTCAAAAGATCCAAAGTACACAAGTGCAGCAGAGGAAGGTCTGAACAAATAGACTCTTGTTGTATGACTGTGAAGAAGGGCAGCAAGGCTTGTGACAGAGAACCATCCACCATTAGCACTCTTCTAACAAGTGCTAGTAAAGGGCGAACAGGAATAGTTACCTGTCAGGAAAAATGTATGATGTTTCCAAAGAATCTATTTTATAAGTGGATTTAGATACTTCAAGATATACCAAAAGCAATCATCCCGAAAAGCCCCCAACAGTATGTTTTTTATGGGAATTAATTTATGAAAGCATTATAATACAAAGAGAACCAAATAAATATCATACTTGAATAGTATAAGGATTAGTAAGCATTGTACAACAGCTGCAAACCAGCAAAGACACTCTGTGCAGTATAAACTGCTCAGATGCTTTAGTTGCTTGATTAGAGGCTTCTCCAGACATTGGCTGGCCTCCTAGAGGAGGAGGGGGTTCTTTCCCAGGTGGAACCAAATGTCTGATAACTTCATTAGATTTAGTTTCTGTGCCATATGCAAAGAAATGTTAGTATCACTAAGACCGTAATGAAAAAGATCACATCCAGCATAACCAGTGGCAGTATCCTATACCTTCTTCTAATCCTTGAAAGGCATCATCCAGATGAGCATTTATTGATATTAGAATCTTTTGCATCATCAAAGACCAGCTAACCTCGTCTCCTTTCGATTTTGGAAGTAGGGCTAAGCAATAGACAAACTTCTAAACATGGAAGGCCAAACATAAAATTACAACATATTCATCTTTATGCAATATACTATAAAATCTCTCATAATTGGAAAATGCTGAAGATTTTCAAAGCAAGTAACTCACCTTAGATATAGTCGCACTGCATTTCTCTGACATAATTCTTGAAACAATAATAGCCTCAACCTGCCAAAGATATTCCACACTTATTTTGGCATTTGGGTGGTACCCAAACAGCTATGTTTGTTTAAAATAATAGAATAGATGGTGCACACACAGCAAAACAAGATTGCTAGACTACCTTATAGAGTAGCATGCAAGACCAGCCTGTCCCTAAGTGTCTCTTTTTTCTTTCTTTTTTTTTTTTTTGGATCAATGAAGTGACTTCAGTTTTTAATCAGCATCAAAGTTAAGTTGAAGTCAGAAATCGCACACAGCAACAGTAGAAACAGTAAGGAATATGGCTCAGTACTCTTTTCTTACCAACTGATGGTGGCTCAGTTGGTAGGATCTCTGACTCATCAGAGTCAGAGACCTGGGATCAAATCCCATTGTCACCAGAGTAGGGGGGTTAAGGGAGGGGATGGGCTACCCCCCATTGTGTAGCCCCTTGAAGCAAAAAAAGAAAGTATTCTTTTCTTTTTCCTCTGATTAGTGATTATGGTATTTCATTGATGTATAACAGGGAAATGAAAATCATACAGATGAAGAAGCAGAGGAAGTAAAAGGCCATGGGAGAGAACCTGAAAGTTGGGAGATATTACATAAGTTGAGTGCATAACCTAATCTGCCTGCAAGGCAAAGATTTGCAACCACCAGCCCATTCCATCCAGAAGAAAAGATCAACTTTAACCCTTGAAAAGAGCTAGCAACTCGCCCTTAGAGCTTCAAGCTCAGACCATGAGGAACATTGCAAATTGAAAGGTCCAAATGTACCAGTGCCTGAACAAAAATATCAAAGCATCTACTTTTGGGAGAGTTGAAAATTACACCTACAGTAATTCAGATAATGCAAGAAAAGAAGAAAAGAGAGAAAGAGAAAGAAGAAGAAAGAAGTTTCAGCAATAGGTTGTGGAAGAAGAAAAGAAGGGAAGAGAGAAAAGAAGAATTTGAACCTCTCTAGCCCCCTTTCATCACTTTTATTAATAATTCTAAGTCTGAGTACAATTACTTGGATGCCCTTAATGGGGCAGCCAGCATTAAAGAAAATAAAATAAGGCCCATAAGACCCATAACTAAGAAACATAATTTTTAAATACTACTTAAAAGAAATAAAGAACACTAAGGCCCATTCGACCCATTCTCACTACACTCCCCCTCAAGCTGAGCATAGATGTCAATCATGCCCAGCATGCTTACATAATGTAGAAGCTTTGCCTTCGGGACTCCCTTAGTTAGAAAATCTGCAAGTTGCTCTTCTGATGCAATGAAAGGTAGGCACACCTCTCCTGAAGCCACTCTCTCCCGTATAAAGTGTCTATCTACCTCAATGTGCTTAGTTCTATCATGCTGAACTGGGTTGTGAGCAATGTTAATAGCAGCTTGTTTATCACAATACAACATCAATGGCTCGTCACATGAAACATCCATCTCATTAAGGAGAGATATAAGCCACAACAACTCAGAAACACCATGGACCATAGCTTTATACTCTACCTCAGCTGAAGATCTAGCAATCACTTATTACTTTTTGCTTCTCCAGGAAACAATATTTCCGGCTACCATAGTATAATATCCTAATGTGGATCTCCTATCATCCACATTTCCTGCCCAATCAGCATCTGCATATGCTTCTACCTTCATGTGTCCATGTTTAGCAAATAATATACCCTTCCCGGGGGTTCCCTTAAGGTAGCATAACACCCTTTCTACAACAGCCATATGTGTGTCTCTAGGAGCATGCATGAACTAGCTGATGACACTCACAGCATATGAAATGTCTGGACGAGTCATACATAGATAAAGAAGTTTCCCTAGTAATCTCTAAAACACTCCCTGTCATCTAAAGTTCTCCATCATTAGCTGAGAGTTTATGATTCACATCAATAGGGGTAGAGGCAGGTTTAGAACCAAGTTTTCTAATCTCAATAAGAAGGTCTAGCACATACTTCCATTGAGAAGTAAAGATACCTTCCTTGGACCTAGCAACCTCAATGCCCAGAAAGTACCGCAATTCCCCTAAATCTTTAATTTCAAATTCAGAACTGAGAAACTTCTTGAGAGCACTATCTTCTTTTGTATCACTGCCAGTAACCAACATATCATCTACATAAACTATAAGAAATGTCACCAGAGTGCCTTTTCTCTTAACAAAGAGGGTATGATCTAATTAAGTTTGTGTAGCCGAACTGAACAGGAGCAGCCCTGTACCTGTCAAACCAAGCACATAGAGATTGTTTCAGCCCATGAAGTGATTTCTTCAATCTACACACCTTACCCTGGCATTTCCTTGCCATATATATCAGGAGGAAGGGACATATATACCTCTTCAATGAGATTACCATTCAGGAATGCATTCTTAACATCAAATTGATACAGAGGCCAATCATAGCTCACTGCTAAGGATAAAAGAACTCTCACCAAAGTCATCTTAGCAACTGAAGAAAAGGTCTCGATGTAATCTATCCCATATACCTGGGTATATCCCTTGGCAACAAGCTGAGCCTTATACCTCTCAATTAACCCATCTACACGATACTTGATAATGAAAACCCATTTGCACCTAATAGGTTCCTTCCCAGTTGGCAAGTCAACAATATCTCAGTTATTGTTTTTATGAAGGGCTTCTATTTTAGTACTCATAGCATCATTGCAATCCGGTGTGGCTAAGGCTTCTGAAACAGACTTTGGGATGGATTGGGAGGAAATGGAGGCTAGAAAGGCATAGTAGGATGAGGGCAACAAGCTGTAGGAAAGGTGTTTGGAAATACAATGAGTTGTACATTTCCTCTTACCTTTTCTCAAAGCAATGGGTAGGTCAAGGTCTGGAAACAAGGGTGCTGGTGGAGGAGGTGATGGACATGTCCTCTCTTCAATAATCGGGAGCACCTGAGACTTAAACTGGAGGTGTGGTATCAACCTGTGTTTGCCTTAGCCTTTACCTCTGGTACCTAGAGAATAGGATGAGTGGAAACAACTGGAGGACTAGCAGGAGGGGGGGGAGGAGCAAGAGCGGAAGACTGCAAAGGAGAGGATCCCTCCACGGGAATGGGGGTAATTGTGGAGAGCTCGACACAAGATTCAACTAGAGTTGGCAAAGAAAGGGATGAAGAAAACAACTCCCCCTCAAAAGGATGGCTATAAAAAGGAACTAACTCTGCAAAGGTGATATCCATGGAAACAAACCGGGTGCCACCAATGGGATCAAAACAATACCCTTTCTGTGTGGAGGCATAACCAAGGAAGATACACTTCTGAGCCTAGGGGTCAAACTTGTTTCTTTTGGAACTGGGAATGTGGACATAACAAGTGCAACTAAAGACCCTCAAAGGAATAGAGAAAATCTCAACATCAGGAAAGAAAACTCCAAAAGGAGATTTTAACCCCAAGACTCGAGAAGGCATGTGGTTGATAAGGTAGGTAGCTGTTAAAACTGCATCACCCTAAAACTTCACAAGAACATGGGTAGAAAAAAGAATGCTCCTTGCAACTTCCACAATGTGTCTACTTTGCCTCTTTGCTACTTCATTTTGTTGTGTGGAGTGCAAGCACAAGAACTCTGATGAATAACCCCAAACTTCTCAAGATAGGAGGTAAGGTCCTCAAAATATTCATTATCATTGTCTGACCGGAATATTTTGATGCAGGTATTAACTGAGTATGTGTTCATGGAACTATTGCACAAGTTTAGGCACTTCAGCCCGAGAGCGCATAAGTTAAATCCAAGTATATCATGAAAAATCATCAATAAATAGGATGAAATATTTATACCCACCCATCAGAGTGAACAATATTAAAAGGAATAGTTGATCTTTTATTACTTGAAGGATAAGTGCTCTTACAATGATTTAAGAACTCACAAGACTCACAAGACTCACAATGAAGACACGATAGACTAATTCCTTTAAATAACTATGAAAAAAACTGACTTAATGAAGAAAAGAACAAATGACCAAAACAACTATGACATAACATAATATGACTAGTGGACTCTGAAACAAATGCAATTTTCTTAGGTTGTACTTGGCTTTGCTCGGGCATGTCTAACAGATAGATCCCATTCGCCTCATGGCCACACCCAATCACCTTCTGAGATTCCATGTCCTAAAAAACACATTATGAAGGAAAAAAGGTCACATTGCAATTCAGGAATTTAGTCAAATTACTAACTAAAAGCAAATTGGTATTAAGTTTAGGTACATGAAGAACAGATGATACGATCAAGGCATTAGACGTCTTAATGTCTTCGTTTCCCGTGATAGGGGCTAGGGAGCCATCAGTAAGTGATATCTTATCCTGTCTAGAAAGAAGTTGGTAAGAGGTGAACAACTGTGAAACACTGGTCATATTCAGAAGCACCAGAATCAATTATCCAAGGGATTTTATGAGTACCTCAGACAGAAGCATGATGTGTAGTGGCACGAATACCTGAGTGAGCATATGCAGAGGAAGGAACAATCTCCGAAGGAGCTGTAACAGTGGACTCCAAGTGACTGATGATTCGTCCATACTTCTCATATTCGGCCCTGGCAGTTGCAAGTTGTTCTCCCACTAACTTCTCTCCACCTTGTCCTTTTTCACCTTGTGAAGAAGTGGCTACATTTGCATTTCCACCTTTTCCAGTTTCAACCCTTTTTCCACCATTTTCTTTCTTGAATCTAGCAGGAACGAGCTCTGGATGCAGCTTCCAATATGTGTCTTTAGTGTGTTTAGGCTTCTTGTAGTATTCACAGATAGCATCTTTCTTCCCATTGCTAACCTTCAGGTTCATCCTAGCATTAGCATAGTGATCAACCTGTGGCTCAACAGACTGAACCTGTCTTCTGCTCTCCTCATTACTCACCATAGCATATGCCTGAGACAAAGTCACCACATCCTTTGCTAAAACATTTTGCCTTACAATATCATACTCCAAGTTGAGTCCAGTGAGGAACTCAAAGACCCAATTTCTCTCCACCAACCTCCTATATGTTTCTACATCCTTTGTGCAACCCCAAACAATAGTCTTCATCAAATCAATCTCTTGCCAAAGAGATTTCAGCACAAAGAAGTAGGTTGCTAAGGGCTTCTCCCCCTGTCTAAGATTATTCACATCATGCTTCAATTTGTAGGCCCGAGCAACATTAAGCTTTTGGGAATAGGTCTCTGTGACACTATCCCACACTTCTTTTGCAGTTTCCATCCACAGGTAATGCTGACTAATGTGTGGTTGCATAGAATTCACTAACCAACCCACTACTGCATAGTTTTCTTGCGTCCACCTTTCATAGGTAGGATCATCCTCCTCTGGTTTCTTCTTGCTCCCGGTAATATAACCCCATTTTCCTCTACTATACACATGTATCTTAATAGATTTAGACCAAGCTAAATAATTGATCCCATCTAGCTTCACAGTAGTCACAACCCCAAAAAGATTCTCCATTGACCCCCCATGTCCAAACCTGGAACCTGTGGAATGTTTGGTCTCTCCTCCAGTTTGCTCCATTGAGTAAACGGATGCAAATGAAAATCAAATTAGGGCTTTACTAGGCTAGATTTACTGTTCTAAGAAAAGAACAACCTTTCAAACCCCCAAAATTAGGGTTTCACAGGGTCCTGCAAGATGGGGAGAAAGAGAGAAACTTCAACTACCCCTTCCAGAGGTTCCAGAATTCAATCCAACCAAAATAGCCCCTAATAGAAATCAAAAGGCTTACCTCTGATCCCCAAGCGCCTGGTTCAAACTATCTCTATGACCTGTAACAAGGTTTCTCCAGCTATCTAGGGTTTTCGGGAAAAATCTCCAAGAACCTGCCATGGGCTTCATCTAAGGATGAAAAAACTCCACAAAACTCTCCAATTACCTTCCTAACTGGGCTGCATAAGTAGCTGATTGATCAACCGATCAGTTCTCCATACATACTATGTATGGGCAAAGAAAGGAGAAAAAAGTCAAAAGTGAGAACCCGCTCTAATACCAAGTTGAAAATTACACCTACAGTAATTCAGATAATGCAATAAAAGAAGAAAAGAGAGAAAGAGAAAGAACAAGAAAGAAGTTCCAGCAATAGGTTGTGGAAGAAGAAAAGAAGGGAAGAGAGAAAAGAAGAATTTGAACCTCTCTCTAGCCCCCTTTCATCACTTTTAAGTACTTGGATGCCCTTAATGGGGCGGCCAGCACTAAGAAATAATTAAAGAAAATAAAAGAAGGCCCATAGGGCCCATAACTAAGAAATATAACTTTTAATAACTACTTAAAAGAAATAAAGAACACTAAGGCCCATTCAGCCCATTCTCACTACAGGGAGAAAAACAAATTTGTCTCATGCAGGGATGGCCCCCATGAATAGGAAAGAAATTGCAAATAGTAAGGCAGAAATGCACCCCTTTTTTTTATCAGTAAAAGTGATTTTATTAAGAAAAATATATGAGAATTAGTACAGAGATTGAGTAGCCTCGGCTACCCCATTTTCCTTTAAGATTCCATCTAATATTTGCTTTACATCCTTACAATTGAGCCCAAAAACAATGTTCCCTATTAGCCCCTTGCTTCACTAGCTTGTCCGCAAATCCATTTGCTTCTCTTGGAGTCCACTGATATAATATCTGCATGTCCTTTGTAATATGATTAAGTTTCTTGATCTCGTTTCTGAATACCCAAGGAGTCTTCCCATCTTGCTTTAGCCAACTTATAACTACTTTGGAGTCGCCTTCTACAACCAACTTCCTTACCCCTATCTCCATGGCTTTTTGTATTCCGAAGACCTTGCCTTTAGTTCAGCGGTAGGCAGAAATGCACCCATTAACTGAAGAAAAACTTTCAAAAGATGTTTTAGGAGAAATAGAAATTCTCCTAATGCAAGAGCCAATGCATGGTTATGTTGTTTTTCAATCTGTAAGTAAACTTTGTGTTTTTAGACTCTAAATTTAGCCTTTGTAGATGGAGAAAGTTACAACATTTGGTACATTTTTCATTTACTTGGTATAGTTTTAAACTTGTGTTTTTGGATAAATGATAAAGAGTACTGTATTACCATAAAAGAGGGTGAGGTGAGAAGCCCTCAAAGATTTACAAAAGAGGTGTGACTAGTGATGTCCACATATGGTAGAATTCAATTGTTCCTGAACCATTCAGCTGGAACATCAGAGAACAACTGCAGGACCATGGCCCATCCCCTTAATGTCCATTCAGCTTTGCAGATTAAAGCTTCCATTGAAGAGGCCTTATCATCAAAAATACTTGCTACCTATATTTATACTTAAGCTTCTATTTATAGAAAGCTACAGTTCAATATTTTTATACCTATGCACGGATTTCTCCTACACTGGATTTTGCACTAAAAATTCCATCACCTCACACAGACCAAATCCATTTCCTATCATTCAGCTTACTTTTTTTCTCAAAACTAACCATATTCTTGGACTGTTCCTTCAATAATTTCTGTACAGATCTGTAATTCATATTCTTATCCATCTGCAGCTCCTATGGTGCACTAAATCCTTTACTGCCACTGCCTATTTGCCCACCAATAGCTAGGTGCCAGAGATCACTGATTGGTCCACCATAAAAAATTAGCTCATGCCACCCAAACATAAATTCAACAAAATGTGAGTCTGAAATTTTTTAGATCATAACACAAAAAAGAACAAGAGATACCTAGCAGTACCAATAGTCTTTCTAAGCCCTCTACCTTTATCATAAAAATATCTACACTCCTTTCCAAATTCATTCAAGGTAATGCAGAAGGCACCATCCTCCACAAAATTTGGCTGTCTTGACCAAAATATTGAGAGTACCAACCTAGCACATCCAAGCTTCTTGGTTTAACTCAACACATGCTGAACATAACAAGGAAGAAATCTCATGCATTTCTAAGAAAAATAAACAAGAGGTGATCAACAATCCCCACTTCATATGAAGAAGGAAATAATAGAATTATCCAGTTCTGTGAAATTAAGTAATACACCATCCACATAAAGAAAGGCCACCTTTACTAGCATCGAAGATCTCTATATGTATTTTTGAGGGATGGATCTTCCTCCCTATTGGATAAGGTGAAAATTAGCAAACAGAGAAACAACATTTAGCCTACTTAATGAATCGTTAACTGATAGACTGGTGCTAGTTTTCCAATTAATCTGAAAGTGCTAGCACCAGAAAACCTTTGAATCAATTAGGACTTCACCTGAATCCATGGTACTCAGCATCCAATACTAAGTCCTTCAGAGGATTTCAATATTTTTTTAATTAATGCTTCCAAGTTTGCAGCAACAAACAACTTATAGTCATTACTTGCATCTCTCAATAGCTACACATCCAATATACAACATCTGGACTCAACAAGGACCTAGAAAAAGAGAATCAAGAAGCATGATAGAGCACCATGGTAGGCTTGAACATATCTTGGTTTGTGAAATAAGTGTATAAAACATATTATTTCACAATTTACGGATCAACAAACAGAAGAAAGCTGCACAAATCAAGCTACAAAAAGCATTTTCAAACAATGCACTTCAAGGTCTAGTGAGGAAAAAGGATAAATAGAACTTGCAGTGTCATAGTGACGATGGACAGAAGCTGGAAAGTAAATAAGAATGCTGCGCAACAGATCAACTGCTCCTTCCTGCAAAAGTAATCAAAATGGATGAGAAAGAGTTGACAATTAAAAAAATGATCAAAAAAAAAAAAAAGTACCAGTACCACAAATACTAATGAATACATTTGGCACAGGACTGGGTGGAAAAAAATAAATCTTATGTTCCAGATATCAAAAGGCAAGGCATTGGGTACAAACAACATATCTATACAGCTATGATGTTAGAAAAGAGGATAGGAAGAAGAGGGGATCTCACCTTTGTGAAAGAGAGGAAAAAGGAAAAGAAGGCACTATTTCAAAATAACTAGATCAAAGTTGCACTTTATGTAGTCACTAGTCACTGCTTGGTGGATACCATTCCATTTGGTATACCCTCCTTTTAGTAGACAAACTTTCTATCACTTTCTACTCTCTTAAGATATCATGCACTGAGAAGGGATTGAAGATATCCATGGTCTTAAAACAATGTATTAATCCATGATCCATCCAATTTAAGATTTTAGAATTCATTATTATCCAAGCAATGATGATGATCATCCTTCCTTTCTAATTTGAAAGTACCATCCATTCCCCTAATATTCTCTTTCTAAGAATGTACCAGCACCATAAAGAGTCCCTTTAAAACATCTGTAGAGAAGATGGGCCGAATGGCCCATAGACTGTTTTATTATTTCTTTTCTTTATGTTCTTTGCTGTAATGGACCTCAACATCGGCCGATGGGAACACTAGATTTTTCCATGATTTGACAAATGGGAGACGAAGAAAGAATCTTGTGACCAAGCTAGAGATAGGAGAGGAGGTGATTACCAACCAGGATGACATAGCTAGAAAATTTGTGGACCACTTCAAATCGATTTATAGAAGACCTTTGAGTGAGAGAGCAGTCGTGGAAGGGGTGGAATGGCCAAGAATTGATG